GCTCTCGACGGGGCCCGCCTGGATGCCGAGGTTCGAGGAGCTCGATACCACCAACATGCTCCTCAAGCAGCGGATCGTCTTTCTTGGCTCTCAGGTCTGGCTCCCAATCCAAACCCTAGATTGATTTTGTTCGGTTTCAGAACTGGGACAAGTCAGAACGTTGATTGCATCTACGTGGCATGTTACCTCCTGACATCACATTGAGCAGTTCATCTTACTCATAATAAGTGGATAATTCATTTGATCTGGATACTAATTTTAGCACCAATTAGATGGTTTTGAAATAAACAGACGAAAGGTGCTATATCTTTCGCAGAAAGAAGCTAAATTGTTCTCTTTGCCTCTGTATGTTTTTGGGGCAGAGAGATTTTATGGTGGGTTTGGGTAGCTTTTTTTGAGAGGGGGAGGGGAGGAGTTGGGGAGGTTACAATGCTAATCATCCTAAAAGTGTGTTTATTTATATTTTTTTATTAAGCTACGGGAAGGATTGAGAGGGTTAAAAAGATGCAAACTTTCTCACTTTTTTAACCCTCCCGAAGCAGACGGATAGGGAGGGGAGAAGTTGGATTTTAAGTGAATTGCTCCCTTCTCTTCCTATCTTCTGCTCTAAACAAGCATAATTTAGGAGTCGGATTTCTGCCAAAATTTGGTGATACTTATGTGATTTTGGAAATGTGTCAATCTAGATAGCTTTGTTTGGTCAAGATAGACGATTTTTATATATAATATGTCAGAATCTGCCTTCTGGAGTGGGAGATAGCTTTGTCTGGTCAAGGTAGTTTCTTTCTTTGCTGACAAGTCAATAATTCATCGTATCCATTTTTGACTTGTGAAGATCCCACTTCTTAATGAATTTGCTCGTTATGCGTCCTACATCAGTGGTGATGGTTGAGGGTTATATTTTTATATAATAACATGTTCATGCAGATTGAGCGCCATTTTATGGGCTGAAACCTGGACTCATATAGTGGTAACATTTTTTTTAAATCCGTATTAAATTTGTAGCCAGTAGGAATTGGTCCTGGGCCGCTTTGATCCGTCTAAAAGTCTCTAACCATTACACCAAAACTCCAAAGTTGTGGTGAGGGTCGAGGTTTTTAGTTTTATATTTTAACATTGTGTATCTGATTATACATATTATTGAGATCATAAACCATAAAAGTTTGATTTCTTAATTGTATAGGTAAGGATCTTATTCTGAACCATGGTTTAAGTTAAGAAGTGTGGTTCAAAATAGATGCTTTTGTTTAAAATATTTGATAATGTAGGACCTTTAATGTATTACTATCAATAAGCAGATGGTATGACTCTGCATCCATCACATTTAAATAGTTAAAGCTTGGTTTTGGAACCAGCTGCTTCATTGTATTTGTGGTATTGTTATATCTGGTTCAATAGTACGATTTTGAGGTATTGGTGATTGAGATTTCAGTTTTTCTTTGGTTTAATATTGACACTAGGAATCTTCTTATCCTTTGCAAACAGTTCTTTGAATTTTCATTGGTTCAATATGGACGCCAGGAATTTACTTTTCATTGTTCTTTTGTTGTTCCATTTTTCTGAGGGTATATTTCGCTTCACTTTTTACATCTATTATAGCTATTGTTGGCCAACAGGTGTTATTTTCTTAATTTTAATTACTACATTCATAGTGGTACTGGTAACAAGCTACTACACATATGGCCGTTGCAATGGTGACAAATTTTTTGTTTGAATTTTCAGGGTTATTTTTTCCATTCTCTGAGGTACCATTTGGCAAAGGGTTAAGTGAGGGGTTAAGGAGACTTAACCCCTTCTTAACATGCCAAACACAACAAATCTATATAAGGGTTAAAGTGAGTTAACCCTCCATAATTTACCAAACATAAAAAATATAGAAGGGTTAAGTTAACCCCTCTAGAGGGGTTAAAATAAGTTAACCCCTCAAAATGAGGGGTTTACTAATACTCCTATTTAGATGGAATAAGAGTTAACCCTTCTAATTATAAAGAAAATAGTTAAAATCATTGTTATTCCCAAACACTAAAACTGATCATAAGGGCTAAAATAAAACTTATTTAACGGGTTAATAATTTAGTCCTTCGGATTATCAAATGGGCTAAGTACATTAATCCTTCTCTTTAACCCCTCTTCATTAACCCTTTGCCAAACGGGGCCTGAGAGTATATTTTGCTTCTTTATTACATCTGATAATCAGTTGTCAGCTAACAATTATATTTTATTAGTTTTAATGGCACAACTGAAATTCATAGTTGTGACAAAGCTAAGCATATTGTGGCAGTTGCAGACATGATAATATTATTATTTGAAACTTAAAGGTTATTTTTTTCCTTATTCTTTATCTCCTCGGTACAGGTGGACACAATGACTGCTGATTTAATTATTAGTCAGCTGTTACTTTTGGATGCAGAAGACGATAAGACGGAAATCAAGCTGTTTATAAATTCACCTGGTGGTTCCGTGACAGCAGGTAGATCATCATATATCCTTAACAAAATGAGTTTCCTTTACAGTTAGTTAAGTTTCTATAATAGATATCTCATACTTTCTGATCCAGTGATATTTGCTTGATGTAGAAGCTGTCGAGTTTTCTTCCGTAGTATGCTTACAAACTTGTATCATCTATCCTTTTATGTTAGAACTAACATATTCTTCTAGTTTCACTATTTAAAATATGCTTGAAATGGTGAAATTGACAGAAGTAGTTTTGCACTTGGGATTACATAAAAAAGAGTGGACCTTTGAAGATTCAGGGTTTCGATGTGTTTAATGTCTCTATTGTATTCTCCAGTTCTTTACATTGAAGTGTGTTTTTCATTTTTGTTTTACACTCTTGATCCTTTACTCACATGCTGTTTGATGGAATAGGAACTTTCTCCATACCGGGGCATGCATTTTAGATGAGACTGAGATTAACCTTTTTGCTTAGCAAGGTCCTCCTAATGAGAAAACAACATTTGTTTTCCTTAAGAAGTATCGATCTTATGACTAGTTACTGATGTTTTCTATGGATCATAGTAAAAGGTGCTATTTTCTCTGTTTTAGTCTGCTTTGCTTGTAAACTTGTCTCTCATTTAACCTTGTGAGATCCTATCCATCGAGGCATCTTGTTTGAAGTAAATGTTATTTTACCTTAGTGACTATATACCCTTACAAAACATTTACCAGAAAATGTGTTTTTCTATTTGTTTTCTAATACTCTATATTTTGCTCAAAGCAAAGGAATTAACTAAAATGCGTGTAGCAGATATGAGAATGTTATGTTAGATTTACAGTCAAGTAGATAAGGTGAGGAATGCAACAAGAGCCACAGTAGTTTCAGATATTATCAAGATTGACAATTGGACTAGAGGACTTGGATATGAACATTTGAGTATATCAGAGGTCCTGACAGACAGACTCCTGGATTTGCATTTAGGAGGGAGAAGTATGCGGATGGCATAAAAGATAATTTATCTATAAAGAGGTTCTCAGATTTGCGTTCAAAGTCTTTAGGTGGTAGACACCAGGATACAAGTTGTAAAATAAGGACCTTATGGTTCATGGTTGGCCTATGAATGGTCAGAGAAGATGGATTTATAAAGTCAACCTGAACTAATTGTGTCTAAAGCTGGACTGGTTATGAATCTTATGATCATTTGTAGTGTGTACAGTTCAACTACATGTCCGAACCTTTCTTTTTTAATTGTAAAAATAGTACAAAATTCTGCTACTTCTTCTTCTCTTGGACTAAGACTATCAGCATGAAATAGTATATAATATTCAACTTAACATTACTACTCATGCCACTTAATGCTGTTTGAAAGTGACCATTACAATTAATTGTCATGTAGATGTACCTTCTTTTCAATGTCATGCGACATGTAGGAGAAAGAAAACTATGTAAGCTTAGTTTTTAAGATTTATTGTCACCTAATGATAAAATATTTTCGGCAAATCTACTAATGGATCCTTCAAGTCTTTTTCCCCCTTTTGTCTTTCAAATCATTATCTGCAAATCCTTTCAAGGTCACGCAAACATGGAGAAGAAAGAAAACGATTTAAGCTTAGTTATTAAGATATATCTTTACATAATGAAAAATCATTATCTGCAAAGCTTCTACATATCCCTTCATGTTTTTTCTATATTGAGATACATATGTGGCCTGCTTACCTATTTTGCGTCTTAGATATGCTTTAGGAAGGGAAGAGAGTTTTAGACAACATAGACCGATTTTATGCAATTCTTTACATTTCATATCTTCTCTTGTTGTGATGTCTTTTTCTTTTTTTCTTTTTTCAATAGTTCTTTTTCTTCAAGATTTATTTTCAAAGAATTTACCTTGTTTAGTTTTAGAATCTAAGTGTATAAATAAGCAAGGACAAGCAGAGTATGAAACATAACTTGAGCAAAGTTGTAAAGAAATAAGGGTATAGTTTACATTTATGATCAATTTCTGTTAGATAGTCAGGAGTTCGGAGTGCTCATTTTCGCTATTGCAAGTCAATTATCTTTGAAAACCGAAGCAAGATTGTTAAAAGTGGAGTTATCTATAGATTATTATGTGTATGCTCGCCTGGAAGTTGTTGGAACACCAAGTTGTTCCAACTACACTGAGAGCTCAACAGAAACGTTCAGTTGGATGTTTTGGAATCATCGACATAGTCAGGCTCAGCAGCATTTTAGGTCGACTGTTGGTCCCAACATTCAAAATGAGTGTTGGAGCAATACAACTTGTCCACTGTGCAGATAGCGATAAGGATACATCTACAAACTCTAAATATATTTTACATGCTTCGTCACATAAAAAAGGAATTATCAATGACTGCTTAATATCTTTCTATGATTGGAAGATAAAGTTATAAAGTTACCAAACACTTGTAATGCAACCCAACATCTGCTGTTGGAGCTGCATTATTGTTGGAGCTAAATTATGGGTCTGACAGTGAGCAACTAAATACACCATGTGAATGTAGAATACCATTGAAGTTAATAGACCGATCTTACAAGATGGTTATATCAAATTCTAGGTTTTTATGTATTAGAATGTTTGGAACTTATGGAACATGTTCAGAACATGTCATTTCTGAGAAGTTGAGATGTACGAGTGCAAAAGGATACATAATGGAAAAATAAATGAATGCATTCGCAAGAACTTAGAGAAAGCTTCAATCAATGATGGAGGGAAGATCATTTACATGTGCAGAGGAGTTCATTGTGTGTGCCAAAGGAATGATGGGATCCATGTTGATGTGGCTATAAGAATTAGTAATAGATCTCAATAAGTGAATTCTGGCAGGAAAAGGATATGATTGTTCATTTAACAGGGGATAGGAGAATATATTCATGTATCATACCACAAAGATTCTGGATGTGGGATTTGTTATTGTTGTTATGCGGTTCTACCTTATTGGCATTACTTGAACTCAATATCATTTAAGAGCTAAGTTTCAATGGATTTGCCCATTTTTTCTTTCTTGGTTCATTTATGAAAGTCCTGGCAAATTAAGAATCCCACTGAGGCTGTTGAAATTTAACATGTGACTACTCAGGCTTCTCTAGTTATCAAACCTTTTCCCACGTCCTTTCCTTGTTAATTACACACTTGTTCCCTTTATTAGTTCTTCCATTTACCTTATGTTGAAAAATTGGCAGTTAGCTTTTGTCCTTCATGTGAATGTTGTGTGTTCCACTATTCTCTATGCTGACCTGCAGTATTCTTTTGTGATGTATAAACAGGATTGAGGTCAAAATGACCAATTCTGCAGCATCTGTGGAACATTTTAAGTTTTGACTAATGTGATGGGATATGATTTTCTTATTTTGTGACTAAAATTTCTAGATATTGCCTTGTATATTAACCAGTTCATGGAGCCAAACTGATCTTGTAGCCTGTGAGTCAGTGACCATAAAGGGTAATGTCGGTTTTTGTGGTGTTAATCTTTGCAGGTATGGGAATATATGATGCTATGAAGCTATGCAAGGCTGATGTTTCTACTGTTTGCATGGGTCTTGCGGCGTCTATGGGCGCCTTTCTGCTTGCTGCTGGAACAAAAGGAAAGAGATATTGTATGCCAAATGCAAGAGTCATGATCCATCAGCCACTAGGAACAGCTGGAGGCAAAGTGAGTGATTGACAATTGCCTCTACATTTAAAATTCATTTGGCAGAAATCTGGAATTAAATTCCCAACAGCAATGACTTCGCTCAACTTCTCATTTTACCTTCTATACATGTTCTTAGGTTAACACTTTCTGACAATTAAGAACCGGTATATCCCCAGCATGATGTTAAAGGCTCAGGTGTTTATTAGATAGTATCAAATTAAATTATGCATGTATGATATCATTTGTTGAAATTTCAGTCTCAAAAGTTCTGCTTAGACCTGGCCACCGGGCCAGCCCAGCCCGAAAGCCCACCAGGCCGGCCAGGACTAATCACGCGTCGGGCTGGGTAGAGCGCCGAAAGCCTGGGCCTAAACTCTGCCTGAACCAAGGTGAAAACCCACACCTTCGCCCAAAGTTTAGGCCCAAAACCAGGCCTTAATGCTATTGGGCCTCCACTATTACAAAGAAGTATTTTAATAGGGACCAAAACCAGGCCCAATACTATAGTATTGGGCCGCGCTAATTAAAAAATAAGGCCCGTAATTTAGCCCCACATGCATTCAGCCGCACCCTCGGGCAGGTGATTTGGGCTGACTGGGCGTGGCCTGAAGCCCGGGGGGAGCGGGCTGGCGGGCTGGGTTTGGGCTGCTCACAAACTCAAAATCAGAGGGCCAAGCCCGGGCCCGGCTCATGGCCAGGTCTAATTCTGCTTTAGTAACTCTGACTTTCTCAAAACATCCCCATTGTCTAGTTAACATCTTTTCATTTGGAATTTTCTATATCATGCTCATAGTTCAAGTTGTCAGATTTCTGTCCGTCTTTTATACGTTGTCATAATGAGTGCCAAAACTCAATTTTGATTGGATTCTGAACCTGACGGTGTTGTTTTTATCTAAATTGTTATAGGATCATGTCGTGTCTATCAATTAATTCATGTTACAGTGTGTAAAATCTTGTTCTTTGTTGTCTCTAGTTCATTCTAACTCTCTTATTTTTATTCAGACAACAGACATGGGTCTACAGATAAGAGAAATGATGTACCATAAAGTGAAGATGAACAAAATACTGTCAAGAATTACAGGGAAACCTGAGCAGCAGGTGACCAGTCACTCTAATGTTCACTAATTTCTCCTTTTTTTCAGGGTTAATTGCACATACACCCCTTGTAGTATCGCTTTTTGAACTTACTACTTGTCTAGTTTCATTGTTGCTGCAGTTAAATTGTTTTTTGACTCTTCTACTGGTGAAATTTTGGCAAATGTTGTCCCTGGGTGAAATTAGGGAGTCTTATCTGAGGGTAAAAGAGTAAAAGTACAGGGGCACTAAGTTTGAGTTGAATTTGAGTTACAAAGCAATGACTCTACAGGGATCCATGTGCAATTGACCCTTTCTTATTATGCATATGATGAATACCTTCATTCTCTTAAATTTTTTCCCCTTATCTTAAAGATTGAAATAGACACGGACCGTGACAATTTCATGAACCCTTGGGAGGCAAAAGAATACGGCTTGGTAGATGCTGTTATAGATGACGGGAAACCAGGCCTTGTTGCACCGATTGCTGATTCCACACCACCGCCCAAAACCCGTGTTTGGGACTTGTGGAAGATCGAAGGAAGCAGAAAAGCCAAGCAAAATCTGCCTTCAGAGCTGAAAATATCTCAGAACGGTCTCAATGGCAGGAACAATGGAAGCAGTGACAAGGAGAATGGCTCTGAGCAGGAAAAGGAGGCACAAACTCCAGTATAGGGGAACATCAAGTTGACTAAGTTTGTAGTAGGATTGATTCGATATGTTGCGTTCAGGAAACTAGATGCAAGGCGAAATTGAAATTTGCTTACAAAATTTGTAATAGAACCGTGTTACTAAATTTAAGGGAAATGTGCTTTTACGAGATGCCCACATGGTAACATATTTCTCTTTGTTGTATTTTAACTTCTGAAAGTTGATGGACCTCCTCTTTGATTAGTCTGACGTTGTTAGATGATTTGCTGTGTTTGTTGTGGTCTTTATTCGCTATAATATATATTGGTATTTAGGTAGTATCTCTGGTGCCAAAGTCCGAAATAGCAAAGGTCTTGTGTTTCTATCTATTGTGAAGATTATCGAGAAAATAACATAAGAAGCAGACTAGAATATCATGTTCTTTCTGGTTTGCGATTGGTGTGCGAAACTCACAGAATCAAATTCTTTTGTTGAGAAAAATACTGAAACCATAACGAAGATAGCTGCTGATCTCAAATCCCTGCCAAGCAAGATTCACAAAACCCAGAGGCAAACGAATTATTTAGTTATAGATCTTATTCGCAGGTTATGTGAAGCTTATCAACGGGGATGTAGCTCAAATGGTAGAGCGCTCGCTTTGCATGCGAGAGGTACAGGGTTCGATCCCCTGCATCTCCATTTTTTTTACCCCCTAATTTAAAGGTGTAGGCACCTCCAAGGTCACGCATACACAGTTTCAGTTTTTCTCCTATTTTTTTGCTCCCTCCTGAAAATAAGTAAGCTATGGATATCTCCAGTGTGCACACGTGATTCTATGTTCCATCCTTCTTAAACTTTAATACGTTTCATTCCTCAAGATTTAAGTGTCTCCATTCTCCCATCATCATGTAAGAATTCCTTTACTTGCTCTTTCTTCCTCAAGCTAGCCGTAGGTTCTAATTTCATAGACTCAGGGTCTCCCCTGCTTCAATCAAGGAACATTGCACTCCCCATGTCAGGTCTCATAACCTCGCACGGGTAAATCGAAAGATTGAAGCGTAAAATTTCGAACTTCACCTATCCTGTAGTTTGAACTCTGAGCATTTGTATGAATACATAGGAATACAGGTCACACGTTTGATGGTTCCTATCACTAAAACTCACATTTTTACATATATCAGCAGAAGCCATGCTAGACAAGATAGCTCTCGACGTAGCTAAATGAAAGAATACGATTAATGCAGTTGATCCCAAAAAAACTAGTATTAGAGTTTGCTGATGAGACAGCCACAAAACTAAATAGAAGAACAAAATTCATGTAGCCAAAACCAAAAACAAGGGCATAGATGCTTTTGCCTCGTTGATGTGGCTGAAACCATGATCAATGATTTTCATATCATACCATCTGATACGCCAGAACATAAGCCAAATGATATACAATAATATCCAGTGAGGCTCAAAACGTAACTCGCGTGCTTATCACAGACTTATAATTTGTTACAGTATAAGAGACAAAGGAATAGTTGAACAGGAAATGTTGAACCCCGTTAGCTGCAAAGCCTGAAGTTTCAGGATGACAAAGGAGAAGGAAAAAAGAGAAATTTATAGCCTTAGACATGATAAAATACCAACATCCACATATCAATGGTTCAACCAATATCACAATTTATCGGCATCAGAAATAATTTAATTTTCTACACTAAACACGAAACATTGAGCAGCTGAGTAACATTGCACTGTTAATTCTCGAATAATCCTCATTCTCTGATAGCTGAAAATTTTCCTCGCTCCTCAAAAATACCAATCTCAAGTCAAAAAATTCTGCATATAGTAAATCACTTGCCAGATTCAACCTGATCAATAAGAAAGAAAAAGTCACTAGAATGTACACAACAGCAAATGGAAAATTCACAGGTAAACGAAATACATCTTGGTTACCTTTTTTTTGTCTGATCCCGGATTCAGTTTCAGATTAAATCGAACCATATCTACTGAAATTAATCCCCTGCAACTTCTTGCAGCTAGGAACTAGGAGAATCAATGAAGTGCTTGCTTGTAGGAGGAGCTCCATCTACATCATGTCGAGAGGAATTTTCTCCCTTCATAAGAGAGGGTGGAAGTAGGGGACCTTCTTTAGTTCTTCTAGCGATTCCAATTCACTTCTGAATACTATGTTTCATCCATGGGACCAATTTTATTTGTGAGTTACTAGAACATGATTCCCAAGGTAATAACAATACAAGCACACTCAGCTCCCTTGATCAAATACCTGAGAGAGTGAGGAAAAAACTATTCAGGCTATCAGCTACCACTTTAAATCTTCAACCCATAACCAACTTGGCTTAACCATTAAGCGGTGTCTTGGCTTAACCATTAAGCGGTGTCCTCCTCAGTCTATCCAACTCCAATCCAAGCTCTAAAGCTAAACCCTTCTTACCCGCATAAAGAAGTGCTTCTTTCAAATTACCAAACAACTTGCCGGGGGGTCTAATCCCTTTCCTTAACATCGCCTTGAAGTACTCACAAGCTTCTTCAAGCCTATTCTCAAAGCACAATCCATTAATCAATGCTGAAAACATATGCATACACGGTAAAACCCCTTTCTCGCTCATCTCTTTCCATACCTTCAAAGCTAAATCAACTCTCTCCTCGCTACACAACATGCTAACCATCATAGTGTAAGTACTGAGCTGAGGCTCGCAAATTCCCTCTTTCCCCATCCTCTCAAAAACCCAATAGGCCTCTTCTTTCTTCCCGGATTTAATAAGATGGTGAAGGATTATATCATAGGTTCGTGCATTAGGACCAATCTCGTATTTCTTCATCTCTTCCACTACTTTGAAAGCATCTTCGAATTGCGAAACCCAACAATAAGAACCCACAATAGCATTATAAGTGGGGAGTTCCGGAGCAAATCCACTAGATTTGGACAGCTCAAAGAATTTGAGTGCTTCATCCAATCTCTTTTCAGAACCCAATCCATTTATGAGAGAACAGAAAATGTGAGGGGTTGGCTTGCACCCGCTTGCCTGCATTTCGTTAAAAATATTTAATGCCTCGTCGCAGTTTCCCGATTTACAGAAGGAATTGATGACAATTCCATAAGTCACAGCATCAGGAGTAAAGCCTTCACCTATCATTTCTTGATACAACTCCAACAACTTTGTCAAATTGCGCTCATTGCCCCAACCTTCGAGGAGAATAGTGTAAGTTTTGAGATCAGGAGAGAACTTTCTTCTCCTCTTCATGTCATTAAAGATCACTTGAGCTCTCTCAACATTCCTAGATTTGCTAACGGTGTCGACCAATGAGTTATAATCTGACAACTCTGGTTTAAAACCAAACATCTCCATCTTCTCAAACGCATCAATGGCTTCTCTGATTTTCTTAGCTCTTGCATACCTCCGAGTGATGAGTACAAAGGTGTCTTTCCTCAAGAGACCCTTTTGTTTCATTGACTCCACCAAGCTCCAAATTAACCTAAATTGTTTAATTTTACCAAGAGCTTCGATCAAGTGGTGAAAGCTTAAGGTGGTGTGCTTAAAACCTTCTTCCTTCTCGGCCCAACGGAAGAAAGCGAGTGCAAGCATTCCAGCATTACCAAGCTTCCTAAGGACTTCTTCAACAAGGTTTGGTGAAACTCTAACCCCTAATTTATCTAGAGAATATGCAACATTGGAATCAGGACTGCAGTTTGAAAGAACTCTGCAGATTATTTCAGCTTCTCCGGAAACTTGATTTACACTTGAAACTACGGTTTCGACGCTAATGGTAGGCTCCACGTAGAATTTAGTTGATTCCAAATAATGGGAGGATTTGTGAAAACCCATTTGAAATCTCGATTGATGATGCCCAAATTTATTCCAACTAACTCCAAGAACTTGTTTTCGCTTAAAAATTGGATTTTTATAGGGAACGTCACTGCATAAGCTACGTAAAGGATAGATAGAATTCATCCGGTGAGCTGAGTGAATGGATTGTAGAGTGTTATTGGAGCAATTAACAACATTTTCGACGGATTTCGATAGCCTACGCATATAATAAATTAGACCCATATGTAAACGAATGACAAAGAGCTGAAAAAACTAGTGAAATTCCAGAATTAGGATAATATGAAGCTCCCCTTCAAGAGAGAAAACAATAAAAAGAAAAGCAAATTGGTCATTTGAAGGGATTTAAAGTCCAAGTAAAATAACCTGAGAATAAAAAGGGGGGAGAACAGGAAGGAACTTAGGTTCAGGGATTTTGGTACCGTAACTCCAACAAGGGGCGCGCTCAGAAACCCTAGGATTTTTTATTTTTATTTTTTACCCTGCCCCGGTCATAAATTTATTTTCGCAAGAAAGGGTTTCGTATCGTGCGCCCTTAAAATCATCAGCGTTTATAGGTACTGTTTGGTTGTTCCTGGTAAAATTGTGTATTTATGACACAACTTGGAAAGTTGTTGTCCACCTCATCAATTTCACTTGTATACTTTTCTTTGTTTGTTTTTTATTCTATTGGAATCATAAATTGCATGTTTGGTTTGCAAATGTAACATTAATTGTTTGTTTGGAAAATGTAAAAAGTGGTCCCTACTCAAATGATCATATTAGTTGAAATTATTTTTTATTATTTTTTCTAACTTCAATGTCAGCTTTCTCCTAAAATCATGTCTTTTTTTTATGAAATCACTTTACAAGCCACATCAGCATATGAAATCACTTTACACTATTTTCATAACTACAAACAAACAATTGAAATTGATGAAAGCTGACATTGGGACCCACTTTTTTACATTTTTCATCCTTTTACATGGTAAAAACATACAACCAAACAGCCCCTTAGCGAATTTACCTACAAATCTCAGCGTTTACAAAATTGATGCTGCAGGTAAGATGATTTGGGTTTGAGGGTAAAAATTTAACTAGCGGTGTGTTTGGATGGAGGGTAGGGGAGGGTAGGCAAAGAGAATTTGAAAGTTCACTTTATTTTGGAGTTTTTTAAAGAGGAGTAATGTAAGGAAAGGAAGTGGAAATTCACATAAAAATACGAAAATGTTATTTGTCTCGCAAAGTCCATCAAACACGGAGAGATAAATAGGGGGAGTGGGACTCACAGCTGATTTTTTTGTGGGTCCCACCCCTCTGTTTCTCTCTCTTGCGCGCTGCGTGCGTGATGAGCTTTGCGAGACAAATAGCAGCGCCCATAAAAATATGCTCATTTTATTCCCCCCCCCCCCCAAATTAGGGTGTAGGGGGCGAAAGAGAGGGGAAATAATTATATAAGAAGTTTGACCGTTTATTACTATGAATCAAATGCTGAGATTTGATTATAATATATTTTTATCACTTCGCTTCCCTTAGTTAAAAACTCCCAAACATGATAAAACAAGTTCTCTACCATTCCCTTCATTAAACTCTAAAACAAGATATTATATTTTTCCCCCCATTCTCTATCTTCATTTTTTCTATTTTATCTTCTCATCCCTTTTCCTAGTAAACTCCCAAGCACACTGTGAATGAGAGAAATTTAGAGCGAATAGGATATTTATCTCAGTTTAATTAAAAAAATGAATAGCGCCAAATTTCATACCCAGTCTCATAATCTAATATTGAATAATACCATAAAGTGAACCCTCCAAAGTTATCTAATTTGGTTCCAAGTTATCTCAATGAATAACACCTATCAAGGGATCATAAACTTCAAAAGTTTACTTTTATCATTTGTTATATTATATTATATATGTGTGTATATGTATGAGATTTTATACTTTGAGAATCTTAACATTAATGAAAGCATTAACAACTAACAACATCTTAAATTCAAGGCATAATATTATGGGTTAATTTGGTATTGTTGAAGCTTATAATAAGTTGCTTATAAAAGTAGCTTATAGATGTAACTTATTATATAATGTGCTGAAATAGATGTTTGGTAATCAAATATCAAAAAATGCTTAAAAACAGTTAAGCTAAATTGTAAAATTGTGCTTTATAATTAGTTAAAAGATAAAAGATATGTGTTATATAAATTTAAAAAAAAAACAGAAGCCACTTTTAAAAACATCACTAGTTTGCTTCTAGTATTAACTAAAAAATACAGTTTCAATAAGCATGCCAATTTTTTCCCAAACACAATTATTAGTTGCTTCTTGGTAAAATAAAAAATGACAACAACAATACCAAACTAGTTATAACTACTGGAACAGTAATTAAATGCCCTTGAACATCCAATATAAATTATATAATATTTGTAAAATAGTAATAGATTTAATTGTTGCACATATAATTTGGGTATCATTTTCTATAATTGTTATAGTATCCTTACAAATTATTTTATTAGATCATGCGCTGTGATTGTCACTTGTTTGGAGATGTGATCTAACTTAGAGATTTCTTAAACTCGTGCTTAGTCTATAACTAGTAAATGATACTTAGTTATAACAAGTTATTATGCATGACACTGACATGTGAGATGTGATAGTGGGTCTCAACCACTGGGAATGAGGATTTCCCGGGTGTATGTCATAAGCACGCATTGTAACGCTTGTAACACTAGACCTTATTTGGATTCTCTAGGACAAGTCACCTAAGAGATAGAGAATTTAAATGTTATATGGTCCCTTTCACTTGGTGATGTTATCATTTCCATTTGTTTAGCAAGCACTACACAATCTTAGTCATTAGGTTACTAGATTTCATTTAGAGAAATAATGGATATCTTGATAGAATCTATATGCTCATTATGACGAGTTAATTTAGCATGCATTCATATT